AGACTTAGCAAATCTGATTGATTAACAGCAGCGGTTCTAGTTTTAACCAACCGCAGTCTTTAAAATCAAATTGTTTTTCAATACTACTGTGGCGGTAGCGTGGTAGTTTTTTTACAGCTAGTCACGGCATATTCTAAGTGACGATGGACAGTCCTGCTCCGAAGGCTTCAAAATGTGACTTGAAACCTACAAGTCAGCTGCAATAACTTTCTAAAATACGGATATATTTCAATAATTCTTTCTACATTCGATAAAACATTTTCTAAACACGAATAATACATTTCACGAAATATCCAAAAATATTCTACTAATGTCATAAACTGCTTGTCGGAAATCTAAGAATCATTCTTGAAAACATTTCTGAGATTGAAAACCATTAGCGAAACGTTTTTCGAGTTCTTCGAGATGTCTGAGTGCGGAGGGATGTTTTAGGAAAGCATTTTTTAAGATCAGAGTCTCATCGAACTAAAGTTTACTACTACACAGGTCAACCTTGTTAGACACAACTATAAGTGCCTGGGATGAATTAAATTCTACATCAGTTTTATTTGATAAATGATTTCATTTTCAAGAGAAGTTAATTGTGTTGTTAGATACACAGAATATCAACAAAAACGTTTTGACGGAGAAATTCAGTTCACTTTTAGTCAACAGATGATATCTGAAATTTACGGGTATTTACATCAAAGCCTATAACATATGTTGGATCATGATTAAGTTCTGTGTTCGATTGGTATGGTCGAGTTACTCTGCTTTTTGTCATTTCATCGAGTGTAGAACCAAAATCTATGTAACGATTAAAAGGATTCTCAAGCCAAGCACTATGGATCAGGACTCTGGACAGTGGACCTACAGAAAATGCGAATAATCGATTTCTATATCGTTTTGCTACAGCAACAATTTTTCCTATTGCTTGTTCTCTGAAATGATCGTTTTCCCATAATAAAGGTCCATCATGGGGATAATGCAGTATTTCGCAAGCCCATTCATTAAGTTCAGCTAATTTTGTTGAAGACGTTTGGTTGTTAATTATTAGAATAATCTTTTTATGATGATCTTTTATTAGAGATCGATGCAATAATTTTGTAGCAGGATAATTTGAATTAACAAATAAATTAGTGTATGTTAAATATTTTGGATGCTGGTAAATCATTGTCATAAGCTGATGGAAAGGACAAATATTCTTAGCATCATAAATTCCATAGTAAACTGGGCTGAATTCATTATATTGATATTTAGGATAATTTAATGATTTTATCAAGTCTTTTCCTAATCTTGATTGACCGCCACGCCAAGACCATGGATCAATAGATTGAACTGAAATTCCAAACATAAGCATCATTTCTCCATCGCCTAACCGAATCAATGCTAGACCGGTATTATTATGCATGGAGTCAGGATATGATGGACTGATTGATGCTGCCATGTTATAAAAATGGTTTCGAAATGTTCCTATCTTCCAGGAACATCGCGACAAGTTAATATTGTTCTCGATGCACCAATTTAAAATTGAGTCAGCACATGTAATATTGGGATTTTTCAAACTTGAATTTGTTTCTGATTTTACAGACAAAGATGTATGATAATTGAATGGATTAGGGCATTGTTGTAAAGATAGAATCACAAGATAAAAGCAAATAACAGTTGTTAACAGTATCTTCCAATTACAAAGAACCGCCAAAAATTTCTCTCTAACCAGATTGGTTTTGGTCGAAGCCAGATGCATTTCTACTAACTGTTGCTATTTATTATGGTCAGAGTCTTAAGACAAAAAAAGATCAATACATGATAATTTGATCTAAAATAAACATTGATATTGGTGTAGTATTTATTTCTAGAGAGCTTACAAAATAATTACAAAAAAAAGAGGTGTTAATATATTTGCGTTACTCGATAGTAGCTAGACATGTGTGACGAATGTTGGGTAATTGCTTGGTTTCGTAAAATTTTTGAAATGGAATCATTATTAGTAAAATAACTCTTTAGATTGAACAGATTCTCAATTGAATATCCTTCAAATACTAAAGTATGCATATTCAACGTAAGCTATTTCGTTTGATAACTGTTTAGCAAGAAATAAAATATTATTATAATTAAATCAAAACTTCGAATACCACCAATCAACTTGAAGTGAACCCATTTAAAACAAATGCAATTGCTTGCATTAATGAAGTTGCAAAAGAAAATGATTTTCTTTATACTCTCATGATTGAAGAATTCTAAGGTCTACTAAGTGTGACTGTAAAGGTGTTTGTATTTGAGTATAGATATAGTTTGAGAAAAAAAATCACATACACTCGAACAAAAATGTGAGTGCATACTGAAAAACAGAAAAGGTTGTGTTTAACTTTTATGTAATTAGTTTTTTTACGCTTAGATTACAATTTACTCGTTTAAATATACAAAAATCTGAAATTAGATGTATGTTTCTCTAAACATTACATTATCATGACTGGATAACTATTCAATACTTGTTCAAACACTCTAAGGGAGAGCAATTCGCATACTTCTTTGGGAAATCTCATTTTATTCCAAAGTTTGAAAGTCATTTGTTGCTCTCTTCAAGAATGAAGTGTCTGGAAAGTATATATGCACGCAAGTAGAACATAATTTCTATTGTAAAATATTAAAGCTTATGACTGTGTGCAGTTATGTTATTTAACCCTAACACGACCACCTGTAGTCCGTACTGACCCCAATGAATTTCATCTGTGTGTTGTATACGTGCAACACCAGATCAAATCGCTCACATCTAGATATGCTCTAATGAAGGCTAGTAGAGTATCGCGTTGACATTAGCTGTTCGTCATCATTCATTGTTTAATAGATATTTTATTAAAAAGTACAAATAAACGCTTGTCGACTACCTGGGGTCCGCCTGGACCCCGTATCATTCTACTAATTTACACTGATTTTCCGACCGTATGTTTTTAAAATTTACCGTTCTGTACCTTTTTTATGATTTATTTGAGAATATTCCAGAATGTTCTTATAAGTTTTACACAGTGTAGACGATTGTAGAATATTGCAATTTTTGCGTTAGATCACTTTCTGGAATGTTTCGCCTATCATAGAAATAGTCGATTGTCACCATCAAGAATACATTGTTACGTTCAGTGCATATTCTGTGCTCACTATTTTTTTCTGTGAAACTTTTCATTATATTTGAATATCAATCGCTGCGTTTCAACATAAAAAATTTTTCAAAAACAAAATGATCTCAAACAAGCGACTACCTAATCGATTCTTCCGCAACGACTCCCCGGGGAGTCCCCGTAAAATAACGAAATCCCTGTGGAGTCCGTATCGTGAGTCCCCGGGGATTTCTCTGGGAAGAATTGATGAAATTTTTTAAATTAAAAAAAAAACTTTTTAATTTTTTAATTTTTAAAAAATTAATAAGAATTTGTTAGTAATTAGATATTTCATCGATTTTGACCAGATAACTCCCCGGGGACTCCTCGCAAAAGAACGAAACCCCTAGGGACTTCCTGTCGTGAGTCTCCGGGGATTTGTCAGGGGACTCCTTGGGGATTCTTCTAGGGAGAGTTGACTAGGGACTGAATTCTAATCAACCAACACATTTCAATGCAAAGAGAGATTCAACTAGCTATACAAACAATCGAATTACCTATTGCCAAGAAATTGCCTGATAATCCCTTAGCTGGTGTTTCAAAGCTACGTTGACAACTTTGTTCAAGCGAACGGGATCAAAAAGTCATTATTTGTTGCAATAGATGTAATATTTCTTGCTGTCCAGATCATCATAAGATTGTTTGTAATATGTATTGTGAAACATATTTACAATAAAACATAGTAGTAAGAAAGTTTTTAAGGGCCCCACCCGTCTAAATAATTTAATTTTGGTCAAATTTGTCGATTTTTTTATTTATATATAGTCAAATAGAGCTGAGTGTGTACTATCGATTGCACTATAATCTATTGATTTTCTGATAAGATTTCAGGAAACTACACAGGTTTTTCAGAAAACTCGCAGGGAAAACATACGCTTTTTTCTAAAAAAATTGACTTGTAAATTTTTTCTGGATTTTCTTTTGACCTTTAATATTGATCGACCTTACTACCATGTACAACCAATTGTGGTAGGCGAATACAGCACTTCAGAAACTTCAGAATTGAATGAAACTACTATACATGGATTCATGAATAAGCATAAATTTTGTTTCATAAAATTATCAATCATGATGACTATAGCATACTGAGAAGTATTAAAGGTACTATTAACATTTTACTTCTACATGATGCACATCGATTTAGATGATTTTATAGGTTTTTTCAATCAGATGATTTTTATTGATATTCTCGTAGACGTAATAGATCCATGAGACAACAAAAACAAAATGCTTTTGTAAATCGTCATGCACGTTTATTTGATACATCCTAATCGTTGATATATTGGAAATTACTCCTATAATTTTTTTAGATTAATTTATAGAGCGAAACATCCTGATTTTCAGTGTTCAAACTTATTTTGCGTTTTTCTCATATGGGATTTTTGGTTTTTGTCCGTCCCAGATTTCTCTGCTAATTTAAAAGCTAGAAATCTGGGGTTAGTACTAAAATGTAGACCAAGTGCAGCGCTACAACTTAACAGAGTCCGATTTTCTAATATAATCGTAATTGTTTTTTAAAAACTAAAAGAACTGAAAAAATCCCTCTGATTTTTCAAAATATTGCGGGAGAAGCTTTCCGAAACCCAAATTAGGAGTAAATTGAAAACTCTGGTCCTGCTAATTTGTAGCCCCACCTCTTGGCGACATTTTTAAACTAACCCGAGCTTCCTAACAATTGAAATGGTCGAGAAACCTGGGACGCACGGACACCTATATTTGCACCTGTAATCATTAGCTAACTCTGTGAAGACTCAATGTATCGAATTGAAATTTTTATTGTGAGATACTATACTGGAAATATATCTTTCCAAGAAATTTCATCGAAATCGAATGCATAGAAAAAAAAAATACTTTTTAAAGGGGGGNTATTCGAATCATTAAAAAAAGATAAATAGTTACTCGTAGATTAAAAGAACAAATAGCAAGTGGTAATAAGAAGGCATGTTCATAATACAGATTGAAGCAACTAAATATAGGTTTTTTTCTATTCCTTTTTGGTGCGACAGCATAGTAGTCACTAACTAAAAGTACTAATATATCATATTACTTACTACCTTTATTATGTCTATTTTGCTACCTTGAAGTCCAAACGGACCCCAGGTGGATAACAAGTGATAGTTCTTAAGGTGGTCGTGTCAGTGGTAAATGGACATATGAAAAAAGATGTAAAAAAGGACGTACAGAATAGGACATATAAAGGAAAGAGCGTACAACAAAACACGTACATGGAAGAATATACCGGAAAAGATGTACAAAAATGGACGTAAAGAAAAAGAAGTAGAGAAGTAGAGAAAAAAAAGATCTTGTGGCTATTTTATGATTTTATTTAACATTTAGCTGTACTTTTGATTTACAAAGAAAAGGTTTGCTTCTTTTTACTAGCATTTCCCGAAGAAATCATAAAACGGATAATATGATGTCAGCGGCTTAATCGTCAGAAATGGAATATGGGAAGAAAATTTAGTTACACGCATCGTTCGGATTCTTTCTATGAATCGTCAGTTATCATTTATCGATATTGGTGCGAATATTGGTATTTATACAATGTATGCTGCAAAATTAGGTTGCAAGAATGTGATTGCTATCGAATGTTTCCGTCCCAATGTAGAACGAATTCGTCGAGCCGTTCAACTTGAAAATGTTCAAAATCAAGTTGTAATTATGGCTCGTGCACTATATAATAAATCAAACGTTTACTTATCATTGCGAACAAATATTGCGAATAATATAGGTTCACAACGATTGAACGCTGAAGTACAGAATAATGAGAATAACTCTCTTGTTGTTCAAACAATACGTTTCGACGATTTATTGCCTGTTGTCAGAAAACGAGATATTCGAGAAGCTATTATTAAAATTGATATAGAAACATCTGAACATCATTTATGTGGCACAGGTGAACAGATGTTCAGTCAAATAAATATACCATTCGTTATGATGGAATGGGCCAATATTAAAGAAATACCTTCCAGAGCTAATTTAGTTCAAGAATTCTTTATAAAGCGTGGTTATATTCCATTTAAGTCAGTAACATGTGAACCAGAAACTGAAAAAGATTATAGACTATGGCATTCTCAAGATATTTTTTGGATAAAAAAGACTCATACGCATCTATGTAAATGATAACTGAAAATCTTAGTTGAATTCGAAATAAACATACACACAATAAAATCTCTCAGAAATGAACTCTTTCTAATTATGAATGGTCTAATGTGTCAGACTGACGGAGTTTTTTTCTCTAGAAATACCTCTCTCTTATGTAAACATCTCAGAATTATGAACATGCCTTCTTATTACCACTTGCTATTTGTTCTTTTAATCTACGAGTAACTATTTATCTTTTTTTAATGATTCGAATAGTTTATCTGTACAAAAAAAGAATGATACCACGATACGAGCGCACTTCACGAGAAAAGGTGAAGTTAATTTATGTTAGTAATAATTAAATCAATTTATCGCGAAGTAAATTGGCTCAAAAACAATATCTATCATTGCTCTTTCTCAAATATTTTAAAACATAAAACAGAGCACCTAAATAATTCTGGAAACTTACAAGAATTAAAATGTATTTATATCGAATATATTTTCACGGTCGTTTTAAATCATGTTTGACAAAATAGATGAACAGATGAATAAACAAACAAATATTTTTCTAGTAATAATGTAGAAGTGCGTATATTGGAACTTCGTCTTCGATTTACAGTCAATTATGTACCAACTCTCTGTAGTGAGCACCTTCCTACAGTGAACGTTTTTGAACGGTTCCCACGATGTTCACAATAGGGAAGTTTTACTCATGTATTATAACCATAAATAGTTTATGAAAAAAAGATGAAATGGTTTGAAAGCACTGGTAAAGACAGCAAAAACATATCTCATTGATATATTTTCTTTTAAGCCAAAATCAGCTTTTAACATTAAAAACGACATACCTGATTTAATTTAAGAATGAATACGTACTTACCTGTAAATATTTGCATCAGCAGTTGGGGTTTGGGTTGTTGATTTATTCTTATAGTTCTTAATATTTAAAATAAATGTAACAACAGAAAACTTTATTATTAAAAAATAACAAATCAATAGAAATATGAAATTTGCTTGAGTACGAGGTAAGTATCAATGATAATGATTTTGATGGAACTAAATCGACAGTTTTTAATATTTAGTATTTACGAAATCTTGATATTTTTGACCTTGTTATAATTATAAACTGATGTTCAAAGTGTAGTCTAAAATGATCTTCAAAATGAATTCTTTGTAACGGTCATCATCAACAAGTTTACATCATTTGAGACTTTAATTCTCAATTCATAGTAACTCATTGTAATGATGATATTACTATGGCAACATAACATTAGGGTGAGTGTGGGTGTGTACACAGAATAGTCAACTGTGCACTCATACCTACGCCAAAACTAACTCCCTCAAGCAAAAAATAGTGTTTTCGGCAAAACCAAGTTGCATTTAAATGGATTTCCAGGCCAGCAACTGTTTTTTAAGGCTTTATGTGATTGTATTAGATTTTCCTTATTATTTCAATACTTTTGAAAACACGATGATACTTGTAATCAGGGCAGAGCCAATATCCTTGATTACGCTAGTAAAAAATTCACTTTGATTGTTCAACTGCGTTCGTCGTCAATTTACTTTCGAATAAAAGTATATTTATATGTGCATGATCCTTGAAATCTCCTCTTTCAAATGCCATGCTTTGAACTTTTCTCACTCATACAGTTCTCCAGAAATCAGCGGTCTACGATGAGGACCCCTCATTGTCGTTATTAGAGTTACTTTCCATAATTATGACATTACACTCTAAAAAAATCGGTTCTTTAGCGAACCCCCAAAAAAGCTTCCGGAGATTTCTAAAAGCATCCAAACGTGTCCAAAGTCTGAGAAGAGGAATAAAAAAATCTAAGCAACCTTTTCGTACGAAGCCCTTTTTCAGTTCCGTAGAGCAGAAAAAGGTTTCGTACCAAACTCTACCAAATCAGGAGAGTTTAGTACGAAACCATTTGGTTATAATATGAAACTCTAAATGCTTAGTATTTCCCATATGAAACCTTTTTCTGCTCCACGGAACTGAACAAAAAGGCTTCACAGGAAAAGGCTTTTATCCTGGACATACGATAAGAACCTTTAAAGGCTTCGTAGATTTTTCTATCGGCTTTTTTAGACTTTGGACACCTTTGGATGCTTTTAGGAATCACCGGAACCATCTTTGGAGGTTCGTTAAGAGCCGATTTTTTAGAGTGTAAGTCTTTTTTGTTCCTAATTACGACAAATGCACCAAAATCCCTCTACTATTGGAAACAAAGATAAATATATCCCTCCATATGAAAAGTGCGATAGATTCTGAAGACTTTTCATAACCCATTTTGATATTCTGGAAAAGATCAATTTTTTCATGTCAGTGGTCCCCCTCAAGTATTCGAAGAAAGCTCTTTCCTTTATTCCATTTGTTTTCTCAATACAGCGGCAGAACAAAGTATGCTGATCATGAATATGATCTCTTTTTTAAGTGTCGCTAGGAAGGCAGCAGAGATTTAAGGCATTTATATACGACTGAAAAATCATTTTTTTTGTGGAAACGGATCACGGGCTTCGTCGAAAATCTTCACTAAGTACGCCCATTCGACGCAGAATTATTTCCTCTGCTACAATATATTCTAGAGTTCCTTATACAAAACCAATTTTTAATTTTTCACCCTGTGATACCACCCCCAATCGTCATTCAGTGAAAAATAGTCAATTTTTGCACTCACAGAAACTCCCCCTATTACAATGAATCATGAAGATTTTTTATACTAAATGAGTAACTCAATAAGTTTTTTCTACTAAGATTCATTTCAGCATGAAATATTACGACTAGGTTAGCATTTAACGATGCAGATATTTGAATCTTTGCATATACGGAATAGCTCGAGAAGGAGCCAACAAAACAAACCGAACTAGTCTTGTTCGAAAGCTCTAGCTCACTTACACATTAGGTACAATAATAAGTATTATGGGCTACATTATATGCAGTTTCTGTGCGTGCAAAAAAAATGCATTATTTTTCACTGAATGACTGTTGGAGTCTGTATCCCAGTAGGAAAATTTAAAAACTGCTTTTGCATAAGAAACTATTATGTATTCAGGTAGAGAAAACAATTCTGCGCGGAATAAATTTATTTTTCGAAGAGTTTCGACGAAGCACGTGATCCGTTTCCACAAGACTGACTTTTCAGTCGTATATAAATGTCTTGAATCTCTGCTATCTTCCCAGTGACACTAAGAAAAGAGATCATATTCAGAATCAGCATACTTTGTTCTGCCGCTGTATTGAGAAAACAAATGGAATAAAGGAAAGAGCTTTCTTCGAATACTTGAGGTGGGACCACTGACATAAAAAATTGATTGTTCAAAAATATGAAAATGTGTTATGAATAGTCTTCAGAATCTATTGAAATTTTCGTATGTAAGGTTATATTCATCTTTTTTCCAATAGTAGAAGGATTTTGGCGCATTTGTCGTAATTAGCGACAAAAATAGCTTACGTTAGTGTCATAATTATGGAAAGTAACTCTAATAACGACAATGAGGGGTCTTCATCGTACACCGCTGAATTCTGGAGAACTGTATGAGTGAGAAAAGTTCAAAGCATGGCATTTGAAAGAGGAGATTTCAAGGATCATGCACGTATGCATATACTTTTATTCGAAAGTAAATTGACGACGAACGCAGTTGAACAATCAAAGTGAATTTTTTACTAGCGTAATCAAGGATATTGGCTCTGCCCTGATTACAAGTATCATATTGTTTTCAAAAGTATTGAAATAATAAGGAAAACCTGATACAATCACATAAAGCCTTAAAAACAGTTGCTGGCCTGGAAATCCATTGAAATGCAACTTGGTTTCGCGGAAAACACTATTCTCTGCTCGAGGGAGTTAGCTTTGGCACAGGTGTGAGTGCACAGTTAACTATTCTATGTGCGCACTCTAGCCCGCACCCTCACACGGAATGCTGAAAAAAAAGATCCAATTTGAACGTCTAACTTTTTCATGTATATTAGACTACCCATGAACCCTATCAATTTTCGTTTATCCTTCAAACACACACACACTCTCTATCTCTGATAATCTTGGTATATATGGCGGCGATTATTTCATGAAACACGACCTAAAAGAAGTGTTGAAGTGAAAAGAGTAGAAATGTATACTCATCATCGCCACCTCGTCAGACCATGGTAGATGGGCCCTCACCTATCACAGATCGCGGTAGGCGGTTTCAAGAGGCTATTGAAGATCATGTATAAGAAGTACCGAATTAAAATATAAATAGATTATTTTCTTGTTGAAGTATTAGACTGCAAAGTAAACCATGATATAGACAAGTACCCCAATACTTTAATCTTACAGAAATTGTACTAACTGCTTTTTTAAACTTCACCAGAGATAAATGACGCTATGCTCCTTAAACTACAATCTGTTGCCAAAATTCGTTTCATCAAATAGAAAACTGTAATTTATATCAGTAAAACGTAATTTCACTATTTTTAATAGAATTTAACATTCGAGAACGAGGGGTGGCAGAATTCTCCCAAGAACAACCAGCAAAATTCTGTAAGAATAATACCTATATGACTTAAACACACATTTCACACTACCAACACAGAATTCTGTTTCCCCTACAGAATTCTGTCTTACTGTGTACACACACTACCTTGGGTAGAAAGCAGAATTCAACATTTCCCAGCAGAATTTCGTCAGAATTCTGTTTCCCCTGCAGAATTCTGTCTTACTGTGTACACACACTACCTTGGGACGAAAGCAGAATTCTAAGCAGAATTCAACATTTCCCAGCAGAATTTTGTAAGAATTCTGTTTCCCCAGCAGAATTCTGTGTTACTGTATACACNAACAATCTAAAATAAACAAATCAGAGAAAATTTATTATTTCTCAAAATCAGACTTACCTAAAACTCCATATCTATATTAACCTAGAATTACAAAAACGAATAATTCTTTGATTCGCTTAGAGAGAACTTACCTAAAACTGCATATACGGATCAACCTAGAACAAAAAAAAACAAATATATTAAATTATGCACGATAAAACTCACCTGAAATCGCATCTTT